CACCTTCTCACAGACTTCACCTTCGGAACAGCCATCCAGGCTGGCCTAATGTTTCCACCTTCATGAGCTGAAATTGATATATAAAACTTTTTCTTCAGAGCTTTTCCTTAGCCATTTCTCACAGCCTCATAGAATTTGACAAGTACCATTCTTATTTTTAATAAGAATGCCTAATTCATCTTCTAAATTGTTTTACATTTTAACATTGATTTCTTGCTTGATTCATGATCTGCATCTTAGAGGAACGTTGAATACTTGTGTGGGTTTTTTTTTTTTTTCTTTCTCTTTGGAGGAGGGCACTTATGTGGGGACAGAACGACCATTCTTTCTCCTTCATTAGGAATTTGTGGTTCAAAAACAGCTCTGCTTTTATGATTTCTACTTTATTGAATTTATGAAGAAATTCTGTGTTGCCTAATATGTGATCAATGTCTATTACAATTTGATGGCTATGTATTCTGTGTTGATATATAAGCAGTACTAACTGTTATATGTGTGTCCTATGTCTGCATTATTTGATGAATGATTGAAAGGGACATGCCAAAAATCTTCATTTATGATTTTTTTAGTGCATCTTGCATTTCCCCAAGACTTTGAATACTATATTCTTATATAATAGCAATTGCTGCACATAGTCGCTGTAATATCTCCTCTGTTGCTACTTCCTTTTGCAAATAGGAATTATCAGTTCTGTTGCTGTGAGTGCTGCTTTGTGCTGGAATATTTGAGAATATAATATTAGCATAGGGAGCATAGGCTCTCTCACTTCCATTTTATTAGTGCTTGCTTGGGAGGCCTTTGCCCACTCTTTTTCAAGCTGTCATCCTTCCTGGTGCTTTCCTTGTGTGTCTCTTATAAATATCATGTAGCTGAATTCCATCCTTGTATTGATTTAACAATACGTTAATTTGTTATTCACCAGGGGGATTTAATCATTCTTCCCTCTGGTCATCCAGTTTATTGGTATTTATAATATTTAGAGATTGAATTCGCTGCATGATAGATAGCATAGCTAAATATCAGTGGATTAGATACAGAAATAAATGGGGGATCTGGTAGCAAACAAACAGAGAATGGTTATTGGCTGCACCACTGAGCTCTATTATGATCTCCCTTATTTTACTTTTTTTTTTTGACAGGCAGAGTTAGACAGTGAGAGACAGAGAGAAAGGTCTTCCTTCCATTGGTTCACCCCCAAAATGGCCACTATGGCTGGCGCTGCGCCAATCCAAAGCCAGGAACCAGGTGCTTCTCCTGGTCTCCCATGCGGATGCAGGGCCCAAGCACTTGGGCCATCCTCCACTGCCTTCCCAGGCCACAGCAGAGAGCTGGACTGGAAGAGGAGCAACCAGGACAGAATACGGCGCCCCAACTGGGACTAGAACCCGGGGTGCCGGTGCCGCAGGCGGAGGATTAGCCTAGTGAGGCGCGGCGCCGGCCTGTGATCTTCCTTATTTTACGGCAGAGGTAGAATTGTGTGGGATTGTGAAACTTGAGAGAGATGAGTTCAAAAATTGAATAGTACATAGAAGCTTCTCAGGGCACCACAAGCACTTACCATTTACTAATATTTACATTTCTAGTTTATATTACTTTTGTATGCTTTTTTGGCATCTTCTGACATGGATAGTCCTATTTGTAATAGAATACCACAGACATTAGATAAATGACATATAGCCTATATTTCTCTGTGTGTCTCTGAATGCTTATATATATTATAATACATAATAGTTAATGTATTACTTATTAATAATTACTAATTAATATAGCAATATCAATATTACTAATATTATATAAATAATATACAATATGCTGATTTTTAATATTATACATAATATATGACATATTGATTATTATTATATAATGTTAAAATTATGATTTATACTATATTATATTGCTTATTATTAATATATTATTGTATTATATATTATATATATATCATCCTGAGCTTTAGTATGGTTTTCCTGTGTGCCACTCCTCCCTCCCAGAAATTGTTGAACTGATTTGAAAATTCAACTATGGATTGTTATTGTGTGTGTGTGTGCATGTGTGCATGTGTGTGTTAATAAGGGTGGAGTGAAGGTTTAGCATTATGCATATTATAAGATTTGCTTTAAAGTTTCAAAATAAACTAAACCTTAATTTTCCCGGTTTCATTATGTACCTCTTGTTCTTATACAAAGTATTTTATCTTTCTGAATTGTTTCTTGTGTTTTTTTTTTCTTGAGTACTTCTACTTATTTGCAATGAGAAGCAAGAGTATTGTTCTTTCTGGACCCTTGAAAGCTCAAAAAATTAATTTCCTGGCTCTTATAAGAAAATAACACTTTGGTTAGATTTAGAATTCTCGGTTTGCCATCCTTTTTCCTCAAATATTCTGAGTGGTGTTCCAATGTCTTATAGCACGCAAAGTCACAAGTTGCCTACTAAGCTATCACCTAGGTACTTCAGCACCTTCTCTCCTCTGAGTTGTGATGGGGGCCAGGACTCAGGAACTCTCTCCAGTCAGCTCGCCAACAGGGGGAGCAAGAGGAGACGGGGAAACCAGAGAAGTTCTCTCCTTCCATGCTGTCTCAAAGGCCTCACCTGCTTGGGGGCTACTTGTTACAGTAGCTGTGCCTGGTGCCTTACCAGCAGTGAAGGGTCCCCTCCTCCTGGACCCCAGCTGCAAAGGACCCCCTCCCTTTTACGCTGACACATTCTGATCATCCTACCGCTTTCTGTTGGTCCCCAGTTCTCTGTAGGTACAACCTCTGTGTTAATGCCAGTGTCCCCTCCTTGGCTTTCTGGTCTTCCAATCCCACTTCCCAAACTTCTATAATTAAATTCTCTCTTACAATAACTGGTGTGGTTTGTGCTTTCAGGACTAGATCCTGATTTACGCAGATTAGAAATGAGAATTATGAAATCAGTCTTATTCTCTTTAGTTTGTAGATAACCATTTATAAAGTATTTTCCAATACAGAAGAGAGCAGGATGTCTTACTCATTGGTCCTTTTCAACATGGGGGTCCCATCTATCTTTAATTCAAGAGATTTTATTGCTTTTTTTTTTTTGCTATTTTCTTTAGTTATTAAATGTTGTATTGTGAAAATGTTGTTTTATCTTTCCTTAGTGAGATGTTAACTTGTTGGTCACTTTCCCTCCAGCCCCAAGACTCTCAACCTTGTTCCCCTATTGTCCCTCTGATCTTGAGCTGCCTGGATTGGTCATTGTGACCCCTCCCAGATGTCAACAGAAGCACCTGTAGTCATTTGGAAACAAGTGACCTCCTATTCTGTGTTATCTCATTCATGGGAGGTCCTTCCATGCTCTCTGGCTGATCCTCCTTTTTTCTTATGCCTCTCTTATCACTGGCAGTTTTCCAACATCTACTAACATCCACAACCAAGATTTAGACCTGCGGGGGTGGGGAACACCTGTCCCCTGGGCCATATAGGGGTGTGAGATCACTTGATCTGGCCTTGCTAAAGCAACTGCTGGTGGGACTCAAAATTCAATACATCTATAGCAATCTCATTCTTAAGATGTTAATTGTGTATGGCCTGGAAAAGATGCTACATGTATCCACACAGCCCTTGGTGGAAAAAGGGTTTCCTATGCCTGCCACAGTGTCCCTTTTAGCTGCATGGGTCATTGTTTTCTGGGGACACCCCCAACTATCCACTAACTCAATGGGAATTTTTTAAGCTTGTGGAAATCAAAGTCTGAATTGACTGTGTTTCTCCCCTCAAAGGCAACCACGAGGGATAAAGTTGTGGTCACCAACCCTGTGAACGAGGCTTCCTCTGGGTGGGATCCCAAAGTCTTCAGCTGATGAGTCTCTGCCTACCTTCCAAGGTGCTTCTGAGAAGCAGAAGTGCTGCTGCTAACGCAGGGGTCCTTCCTCAGGGACTCCAGCTCGGAGGTGCTCCTCTAAGCTGCTCCTCCAATCCACAGCCTCTACAGCACTAGGGCAAGAACTTCTACCCCTGCAGCCTAAGGAACCTTTGCAGATCTTCTCCGAATTATCTCCCGCATCTCTCTAACTCCCTAAACAGTGCTCACAGGGGAAGAGCTCTGAGCGTCCTCTGTTGATTTATTGTACATTTGCTGTGAGTTCTTATTCCTTGATGATTTTCTATGGGTTTGTGTATGAGGTTGGGACTCTTTTGAGTTTCAATAAAACTGAACTTTTCTTCTTTATTTTTTCTTTGTTCTTCATTTCCTTGGTTTGGAGGGTAAACACCCGGCACGCTAGCCCCTTGCCAGAAGTCCACCGATACATGATGTATATTTGAACTTCTTTTGGGACTTAGAGAAAAAAAAAAACACATTTTGTAAAGAGAAGGAAAAAGATTTCATGAAAAGCAGTTAATAATTATCAATACAATGGTATTAAACAAAGAAACCAGAAATGACTGACAGGTATTTAATTACCTAAAGGTAACCTCAACAGTCATGGAGACTGCCTGCAAATGCAAGAAGGCTTTGGTTGGACAGTTTTCTGATGACATTCTGCAAGCCCTGCTTATCTTTCAGACCAGATACATGGACGTTTTGAGAGCACTCATCTTCTTTTTCCCACTTGTAGCATTTTCACTCCTATCCAAATTCTCTCTACCAGGGTGGACCAGTTTGAAGTGTTTCTTCCACAATATCAAAGGCATTCAAGTTTAGGGTCTTTATCCAACAGTCCCCATTTTCTTGCATGTTAAACATTCAATAAATGTTGAGAGAGTTCCAAGAGAAGGAAAAAAACAAATTCTGAAGTTGGAGGGAGTTAAAATTACATAAGCAAAATGGGTACATGTTTCCTTTATAGCATTCTCGTAAGGTCCAGTAGATCTTTCTTGGACAATGACTGAATAAGCCACTACACATACACAGGGGCATGAAAAGAAAAAGCACAACTCCTATTCCATGACCTGTGCAGTAACGGTGTACACAGTACATTAAAAAAATCTCTTGCATGTCAGTAAAATGGATTTGTACACCTGCCCATGTTTTTGTGCTTCTAGGTGATCCTCGTCTTTGTACTAAGCATCGGGTCTCTTATAATCTATTTCATCAATTCCACCGAGTGAGTACAAACCCAAATCTCCCCTCCCTACCCTCTCAGTCACTTGCTGAACTAACTTCAAATTTTCTCCTCTGGGGTAATGCTGAATACATGCACACACACACATAAACTAAAAAAGAATGGTAAGGGTTCAGCTCCCCCATTAAACACTCAACCCCACTTTACAATGAAAGCACATGTTTCTCCTGTGTGCTGCCATCTTCCATATCTAAGGGTTGGGGGAGTGGGGCAGTGGGTGCAGATCTGCTCTAGGGCCTCTAGCCCCCAAAAGTCATCTCTGCACCTGAACTCCTTATGAAGCCATTAACATCTTTGGGTTCCTCGGGTGTCGAATCAGAAGTTCCATAGTGGCTCCATCTCGTAGGTTCCCAATGATGTGGGATGATTTTTTGAGAAAGCAAATGCTAGCTCACACCTGAGATAAAGAACCAGATCATTGTCTGCTCTGATTGAAGACACTCCCTCCTTAAAGTGCCAGGTTAAGGCAGGCTTTCATTTCGTTTTGTTTTGTTTTGACAATCCTCAATCTAATTGAACTGTACTGTCTGTCCTCTGATAATTATATTGGACTCAGAGTCAAAGTGAAAAAGTGCAGAAGCTAAACCTTCCAGACAGCACAAATCGTCTTGTAAACCAAGGAGAGCCACATAATCTCTCTGGCTCCAAATCCCTGCTGATAAAATTGAAACAGAACCAATAAATCTTAAGAAAGTAATGGCAGTAATTTTCCTATTATTTTTAGTTCCATAGACTGTTGAATCATTTTGTTCATGTATAATTCTACTCCCAAGGGAAAAGTAATTTCCTTGAGATCTGAATGTGTGTGGATTGACCCTTCATGGTAAATGAATAGAAAATCGCCTGCCCTATCCCCTCTGCTTGCTGTTACATAGACATAGCTTTCCCAATATGCATCTTTACAAGTGCCCTTGTCTCTTTTCCAGCCCTGTTAGAAGCTGTTCTTCATACCAAGACAAAACCATCCCTGTTGATTTGATTTTCAATGCTTTCTTCAGTTTCTATTTCGGATTGAGAGTAAGTACCTGTTGGAAGTGGGCATGAACACCCAACACAGTACAACTGGAGATCTGTGTGTTCCTTACTTACAAGGTCTCGCTAAGTTTTCAGGTTATAAAGATGAAAGATCCATGCCCTAAATTGTTAAATAGATGATAAGATCTAAAAATTCCATCCACCCTGAAGTTGGAATTATAAACAAGGTAAAAAAATTACAATACAAATGAAAATGATTTCTTTGTTAGATGCCATCACCCTATCATCATGTCTTTCTTATTGGTTGCCGTCTACTACTGAGACACCTTTATCAATAATTACCAGCTGGCAGAACCAAATAACAAGTTCCTCGAGATGAGATGTCGTTTTCTCCATTAATGACATATGCACTGAATAATTGTATAAAATGCTTTTGTATTTTTCTTCATTTTTGTAACACTCACTTATTAAATAGTTCTTTGATTCCACTGGCACTTATTAAGCACTGATGCTAGACCTACATTTCAACGTGTTTACCGGTTCCATGTTTGTGGGAGACTGTACTCACACAGTGCACATCCACACCCACCTACCCCACACATGAGGCTAAAAAACTTTGTGGAAAAATGAAACTGAAATGCAAAAAAATTTGAAATCCATCCACAGTGTTTTCTTTTGTTTGTTTGTTTTTTTTAAATATTTATTTATTTATTTGAAAGTCAGAGTTACACAGAGAGAAGAGAGAGAGAGAGAGAGAGAGAGGTCTTCCATCCGATGGTTCACTCCCCAGATGGCCCAGATGATCCGAAGCCAGGAGCCAGGAGCTTCTTCTGGGTCTCCCACCCAGGTGCAGGGGCCCAAGGACTGGGGCCATCTTCTACTGCTTTCCCAGGCCACAGCAGAGAGCTGGATTGGAAGTGGAGCAGCCAGGTCTCGAACCAGCATCCATATGGGATGCCGGCGCTTCAGGCCAGGGTGTTAACCTGCTGCGCCACAGTGCTGGCCCCAGTAGTGTTTTCAAAATAAACATTTTCCATAAGCTTTTTGAAGGACCTCTCTATATGCATGTATATTAAAACATGTTTATATATACATGTATACATAGATTTATCTTTTTAATATAAGTGTATTATGACACAAGCGTATCTCAATAAGTTCACGTGAAATAGGATTACAACATAAGTTTGTTTTGGTGCACAAAATCTTGAAGTCCATGTATTTGAGTGTCTTCAAGAGTTAATAAACTTATTATGGAAAAGCTATGCATGAATTTTCAAATTTTTTGCAAAATAGACTTACCTTTGAAATCCATTTTTCCATGAATCTTTTGAAGCACCATCGAATATGTGCCTATGACTGTCCTTTACTGCTTACCCAGAACACACTCATCATCGGAACCTGCTTCTAGCAGCAGATTCTCCCTTCTGGAAATGCGTGCTTAACCTAAGTAGGGCAGCTCATAAACACAGGCCAGGCCAGCCAAGCTTCCCGAAAACTACACCTTTTCCATTGGAGAACGTCCTAAATTATGTGTCTTTGTTGCTCACAAATAAGGGGATTTGTGTATATAATTATTGTACATAATTGGCCAGCAGGAAGGTCTAGGGGAAACTGAGAGATTCAACATCTAGTAAGTAATATGACTATGTATTCATTTGTTGAGTGCCTAGTAAAAGTACAATCTTTTGTACTGCATATGCATATGCCTTGGTAGATATATGTAAATATGTGTGCATTTATATAAAAGTAAAATGGACTGAGATAAAAACTTCAGTGGATGAATGCAATGTAGCTGAATCATGCTATCTCTTGTGTTCACTTGAGAAAGCTTTGTGGCTAATGGAAGCTTGAATGTTCCATTTCCATTTCATAGTTTTTGGCAGCTGATGACAAGATCAAGTTCTGGCTGGAGATGAATTCCATTGTAGATGTTTTTACCATCCCACAAACTTTTATGTCTTATTATTTGAAGAGCAATTGGCTAGGTGAGTGTGCTGTGGGTGTCTGTGGTAATATCTATTTTAAAATCTCAACTTTCCTTTATTAGTGTCTGTCCTTCATTTTGCTTTAATACTTGACTGTCATGTGAAAAAATCGCTCACCCTGTTTGTGTAGTTTTGTAATATATTTGCAGAAACCATGTTTTGACTCTCAAGACCCAGCCCTATTCCTGGTATACAGTAGGTGCCCAACAGTTGTTGATGGGATATCTGTACACATAATTTGAGAGGCAAATCTCCCACAAGCCATTCCCTTAGAAGCATTTTTATGCTGGGATCCCATAAGGGCTGCGAGAGATGAGAAGCCACCCTTGATCTTTCAAAACTCATTGTCATGGCAAGTCCAGTTGAACATGCTGCGACATGTTTGGGAATCATGCAATCGGCTGTTTTGTCTTCAAGGCTGATGCATTGCCAGCGCATGGGTACTATGCAGCCTTTATCAGGTTTTTTGTGAGTTGAGGTTATCATTAATTATCTAAAAATAAACACCAGTTCTATACCTTGCCTTATTACCAAATCATCTAAAGTAAAACATCTCATAAAGATGAAGAAACATGCCATGGGGATTGCATGATCATGAGCTCAAGTGATTTATGGAGAATATGTTAAGTTAAATAGAGCAAGGTGAATAGTGCTTATTTTATGTGAGGGGTGCATCTACATGCTTTGTGTTTAATCTGCTACTCCATGAGGTAGGTACTGATAAAATTCTTTTACATATGAGGAGCTGTGAAGTTTAGGAGATCATCTTAGTTGGCAAAAACCCTGGTCAGGATTGGAACTATGGCTCAGGCTCTTGAACCTGTGACATTATATTTGAACATGAAGGGAAAAGTGGAACGTGAGCAGCCCTAGTTGGGCTATGATTCAGGCTATGCCATGGAGTGACTGTCTTTTTGCAGCTTTCTCCTTTCTGTTGCCTTGTAGGTTTAAGGTTCCTACGAGCATTGCGGCTACTAGAACTTCCTCAAATCTTGCAAATTCTACAAGTCATCAAGACCAGGTAAACATTAACCATGCCAGACATACTTCTTACTGACTAGTTTGGATTACAAAATGAAAAATGTGAACTCAATCTTCAACTCAACACAATTTACAACAGAATTTCAGTCAAGTAGTGATATCTCTTTACTCTCAAGCTATGACTCATTTACTTTCTCCCATTACATTGCGTTGCATGCACACTGGATGAAAACTTTGCAATCCTCTTAGTTTGTTTATTCTTTTCTTTTCTGAAAATTTTTTATTTATTTTTATTTTGAAAGGTAGAGTAACAGAGAGAGAGGGAAAGACATACAGAGAGAGATGTTCCATCCACTGGTTCCTCCTCAGATGGGTACAGGAATCAGAAACTCCATCCAAGTCCCCCACATGGGTAGCAGGAACTGAAGCACTTGGGCCATCATCCGCTGCCTTCCCAAGCACATTAACAACAATCTGGATTGGAAGCAGAGTAGTTGGACTTAAAGCAGCACTCCGATATAGATGCAGACATCCCAAAGAGTGGCTTAACCCACTGCAGCACAGTGCCCACCTGCAGTCTTTGCTTTTGAAAGCTACAATATGTAAGCCCATTTAGGTCTTGATTCTGTGTCCCTGCAACACATACACGTGTGCACACACGCACACACACACAGTGAAATCATTTCAGATTTGTTGCCACCATGGTTAGGTAAATCTTTCTTAGGTTTAGGAATATAAGGCAGTTTCTCTGAGTGTGAGCATTGTCCATTAGCCTCAGTGAGTTATTGCTTACAGAAATAGGGCCACCTACATATCTGCCCAAAACAACAAAAATCCAAACTAGCTTTTAACTACAATACTTCTAAAGTTTTAAGTTGAGTCGGCCGTCCCTTAGAATTCCCATGCTTCTACATTCTTCCTAGAAATACCACACAGTATTGTTCAGGCGAATTTCACTGCTAGGTGATTGAACATTACAGACAGTTTGGAATGGGGAAGGCCGTTCTTGTGTGACAGGTTGTGCTGCGTGAAAGCCACAGGGATTCCAACTAAACTCTGTGCACTACTTAGAAGGAGAGCTTCTGTTCATGCCTCTCTCTTCTCCACGACCTTTGAATGAATGCCACGGTGTGAGTGACTCCACTTCTCTGTGATCAACCCTAAATTCCATTTTGCCAGCCCACTCCCAGGACTCCCGACATAAGGCATTTTGAGCTATTACTTTAGACAATGTAGCAATCTATTAAGATTACCTTTCACTGATCCATGCACAGTATATTTTTAAAGGCTAGGCTAACAGATGTCATGGCAAAGTCCAAATCTTGGAAGAAGTGTTATGTGGCCTGGGGTGTTTGTATTCTGTGCTTCTCAGACTCTAACGTGCACAGAGATCAAACAGAGGGTCTCATGACTTTGCGGATGCATAGGCTGGGCCAGGACCTGGGACTGTGTGTTTCTTCATTCGCTCCCAGGTAATGCCATCATGGCTTCTGGTCCACGAACCTCATCTCAAGTAGCAACATCCCAGGATGAGCTGCTTGTGCTGCTGTGGAACCTGACCTGTCACAGGAGACCCACCAGTTCTTTGTCTCTTTTTCTCTAGTAATTCAGTAAAGTTTTCCAAACTGATGGCTATAGTTCTCAGCAGCTGGTTCACGGCGGCAGGATTCATTCACCTGGTAAGCATCTAGTCACAGTGCCTAATGACCTTTCTTTGAACAGTGGAGGGGAACCTGGTGAGTCCCTGTCTCCATCCTTGTAACCCATAATCTTCCAAAGTGTGTGTCTCCCACCATCAAAGTGTCTGAAACTAGCCACGACCCCTCTCAGTACTCAGGCAGGAGACATTGTCCTGAATAAGTACCACAGTAGCCACAGCAGATGCCTGGATTTTTCAGCCCTGACTCTGGAGTTGCTGGCAGCCCAGTGACCGTCAGTGCCCACTGTGGAGCCCTGTGGCTATCACCTAAGACTACAGGAGAGAGTGTGGGGGCTCGTCCTAGCTGCAAACATAGCAGGTGCTCATGGGTTAGATACTGTCCTTCAAGCTCCTGGAAGCAGACTGTTGACTTCTCAGAGGTATTCACTATTAGCCATGGGAGTTGGGCCCAGAACACACAAGCTCTGTCCTCTCGGGGAGTCAGGATTACAGGAACCCATATTCTCACACTTAAGAAAGAAAGAGTCACTTTCGAAAATGGTGCTTTACTTTTAAAAAGTGATCGGGTAGCTGAGCCAACAACATGATTGCTAATCTCCATTTCAGTTTTCAACAACAAAGTGAAGCACCTATTTCCCCCAGACATCTTCAGCACCTGATCATCTTTCGTGCTAAATAGAAATAGAAAACAACTAGGAAATATGTAGGCTATGAGGAAGAAAAGTCAAAAGGTGGAAAGATGAAAAATTAATTGCATATAAGTATGTATTATATATAAAATATCGCATGCACTAGGGTACTTCAAAAAGTTCACAGAAAATGGAATTAAAACATAAGTTTACTTTCGTATCCAAAAAATCTTGAAACCCATGCATATGGGGGGTCTTCAGAAAGTCTTTGTACCAAAATGATCTCTTAATTGCAGCTTCTATGAGCTTTTTGGAGAAACCTCTTATTTAACATAATAATATGATATAAAAATAATAAATATCATAAAATATGCATTGTGATATTATATTAATATCTTACAGCAAATGTATCTATATGCTTATACACCATAAATAAAAGTGCCTAAGTTACTCTTTATTTTAAATACAAAAAGATAATTGATGAATTTAGTTTCCTTAAAATGTGAAGACTGAAGGAGAAAATCAGAAGAAAATATTTTTGTTGTTTTTCTTTGAAAAGATTTTTTTAAAATTTATTTGAAAGGCAGAATGACTGAGAGAGAAGCACAAACAGACACAGAAAGAGATCTTCCATCCAATGGTTCACCTCCAAATGACTGTGAAGTCTGGGCCTGTGCTAAGTCAAAGCCAAAAGCCCGGAACTCCACCTGAGTCTCCCACATGGGTGGCAGGGGCCCAAATACTTGGACCATCTTCCATCCCAGACATATTAGCAGGGAGCTGAATCAGAAGCAGAGCAACCAGGACTTGAACTGGCAATCCAATGTGGAATACTAGCATTGCAAGCAGTAGTCCAATTTGCTGTGCTACAGTGTCAGTCCCCAGAGGATTTTTACCTTAATCATTAAGTAGGTTTTGCAGCGGAGGAGGAAGTGACCTGGGAAACTTGTTGATTTTCCTTAGACACTAGCATCAGAAGCACAAGCTCAATGAAATGAAGTGTTCCTCTACCTGCTGCCTTCCTTAATGAAACTCCTGAAACAGCTTGAGAATGAGAATGCGTAGTAATTGCTCAGTCTGAGAGCCCCTGGAGTCTGCTGACGGCAGGTGTGATGATGTGCACAAGACACACGGAGAGCCGTCCCTACCAAGTGTTCCAAATGCTGCACTCCAGCCACACAGCCCTCAGATCGCAGCCATAATCCCAGCTAAGGAAGCCACAGCTTCATAGTCACTGTCCACAGTCTGCGAACCCTTTGCAGCCTGGGAATCATTTATGTCCTTGGGGTGGAATGAAGTGAAATCAGCCCAATGATTTGCCTGTTCCTGAAAACCTTCCCTTAGATACCATTCAGTGATCATTCCTGAGTCTTCTTTCTCTGGACAGGTGGAAAATTCCGGTGACCCATGGCTCAAAGGTAGAAATTCACAGAATATATCATACTTTGAATCCATTTACCTGGTCGTGGTGACAACCTCAACGGTTGGCTTTGGCGATGTGGTGGCCAAGACTTTCTTAGGACGGACCTTCATCATGTTCTTCACCCTGGGGAGTTTGGTGAATAATATTTTTAATATTTTTTGAATATAGCTGCATAAACCAAAAAACTTTTTTGCTAATGGTGAGAAATAAAGCCATACAGGTCAAAATTGCATTATTCAGAGCAGGTGTCATATGAAAATGCAAAGGTGCCTAGGTCCCATAATTTCAGAATTGTATTCCCTGAAGCCTGTAATTTCAGTGCATGGTTGCAAGAGTTAGATGGTGGACAAAGAGAGCTGATTTTCCCTTACTGGCTTCTGCGTAGATTTGTGCAACCCTGTCCACCTTCATCTTTGGCCAAGCACAATACAGTCTTTCTTCATTTAAGATTTGATCTGAAGGAAGTTCTGTCCCTCCCAGCCCAAATGTGTAAGCCCTCAGCACACCAGCATTTAATTTCAAATGAGTGAACAACTTGGCTTGGTTCAGGAGTGTAGCAAAGGCAAAGGAAGCGTTCTTTCCTTTTAGTGACCTTCAATTCAATTCCCTAACTTAACAAAATTCTTCACTCCACCTCTCTGATAATCCCTATTGATGTCGATCATTACCTCATTTGTCAATATTTATTTGTGCATTTATTTATCATCTACTTGCAAAGTAGAGAGGGAGTGTGTGTGTGTCAGAAAGAAACAGATACACAGAGAGAGAGAGAGAAAGAAAAAGAAAGAGAAAGAGAAAAAGAAACATTTTCTATCTACAGATTCACTCCTCAAATGCCCAGAATAGCCAGGGCTGGGCCAGGCTTAAGCTAAGCGCCAGAAATTCCATCTGGAACTCCCATGAAGGTAGCAGGGCCCCAAGCACTGGAGCCATCATCTATCTGCTCCACTACGTTAACAGGAAACTGTATCAGAAATACAGTATTCTGGACTCTAATCAGCACTCCAATATAAGATGTGGGGGTTCCAAGTGTTGGCTTAATCTGTGGAGCCACAATACCCACGTGCTTAACTATTCCCAAGGGCTCAAAATAGAATGAAGTCAGAGTCAGGAGGGAATCTAGATATGAAGATGGGCAGAACCAGTGGGAAGGTTGCCTTATGGCTTGGCTGTCATTTTTGAACACAGAGAATTTTCTTATATTTTAACCAAAGCTCTCTTAGCATGTAGTTCATCGTAATGACCCTTGTAGACAAAAGAACATTGTATGTACCTTCTTTCTCCTTAATAGTCTTGGACTTTTGGGGGAATCTGTCCAAATAATGAAACCAAAGGTTTTATTTTCTGATCGTTTTAGATACTATTTGCCATCTATGTCCCTGAAATGGTGGAACTTTTTGCTAACACGAGGAACTACACCAGGTCCTATGATGTGGTCAAAGGGAAGAAGTATGTAGCCTTTCAGTTATAATTGCCACAGTTTGAGATATTCTGTTAAGTCCCGTACCCCACGGTAGACATGTGTTGCCTGGTCTAGTGATAGAACCAAAGCTGACAATGTGAGTGTATTTCAAAAAGTTTGTGGAAAGTGGATAGAAAAGATACATTTATTTGGTGCAAAAATATTTTGAAATCCATTCATACAAAGGGTCTTCAAAAAGCTCTTGTAAAAGGCATGTTATGAAAAATTATGCATGGATTTTAAAATTTTTGCATCAAATAAACATCTTTTCATTCCACAATCTGCAAAGTTTAAAATTCACTCATATTGGCAAGTCCTCCCTCAACAAAGAGGACAGTGCAAGAATAAATGCCAAGTGAATGTATTTGCTACTACATACAAACTACTAGGCAAATGCTCAGAAGAGCAGTAAATGAACCACCATGACAGAAAAGTTGTAATTTACTGCCAATAAATATTAATTATGCATCTCTCATCACTACTCTGGTATCATTACTTATTTTCTTACTCATTTTATCATATGGTTAACTAATGGCTGACTTTACACAACGGATCAAATTAAAGCCAACTTTCACATTTTATTTATTTTTTTAAATATTTATTTATTTATTTGAAAGTCAGAGAGAGAGAGAGGGAGAGACAGACAGAGAAAGAGGGAAATCATCCATCTGTTGGTACACTCTCATAATGACTGCAATGGCCAGGGCTGGACCAAGTAATAGCCAGGAGCCAGGAGCTTCTTCCAGGTCTCCCATGTGGGTGCAGGGCCCAAGCACGTGGGCCATCTTCTACTGCTTTCCCAAGCCACAGCAGAGAGCTGGATCAGAAGTGGAGCAACTGGGAATCAAACCCATAAGGGATGCCAGAGCCACAGGCAACAGATTTACTTATTATGCCACAATGCCACCCCTCAAGTTTAATATTTTAAATAATTCAATTCAGTTATCTTAGCCAAAATCCCACCCCCTCACCCCCAATTGTCGAGGGCTCGCTGCGTGCTGAGTTTCCTGAAGGGAGGAGCAGTTTCCACCCTCCCTCCTGCAGCACTTCCAGGGGCATTGATATTGTTCAAGCTCTTTTCCAGGAGGGAAATGAAACTGGAGGTGCCTGTATCTCATGTTTATGTGGATTCTCATCACTTCAGCTGCCATAACTCTTTTTCATATTTAAGAAGAGAATGGATTGGAGGTCTTAAATTCAATGTGTGTATATTTTTATTCAGTTCCTGTCTGCTGTAGGCAAGAGATACAAAGAAGATAACTCTCTTGGGGGAAGGAGGCTATCTCTTAATGCAGTTAAGTGAAAACCACTATTGGCCAAGGAGTACAAAGATGAAAGAATAAAACATAATGAAATTAATGAGACCATAAATAATGAGAAGCAGTGAAACAAACTAGATAAGCCAAAATCAAATCCCATTTGCGTCAGGAAAGGCATAGGAGACTCATGCTGAATCAACCACTAAAGTAGGGGAAATTTATGGTTAATGTAGGTTAAAATTATGGTTTCTGTTTTCTTACATGGCTAATGGGAAGAAGAAGCATAGCTTTTTAAATATATTAAAGTAAAAAAAATCTGCAGCTCTTTTTCATCACAAACACCATGTGCATAGGTTTCTGCACCTGTCCTACTTATCTCTCCATCGCACTCACTTTTCTATAACTACTAGATAATTTTAGGCATAAAATTATAAACCAAAACAACCTAGAATGTGGTGCTACCTCAGCCACAATATTTGGTTATGGAGAAAGTTAATGAGCCATTTCAGCATCAGCTCTCTACCAAGGGGAGGAAAAACTCAGTTAATTAGGAATTAAGTGAAAGGTCATTACACAGAAACACCTTCAAAAAGTTTGTGGAACATATGGATGATGAAAACACTATGCATGGATTTCAATTTTTTTTTGCTCCCAGATAAACTTACATTTCTCTTTCCAATTTCCATGAACTTTTTGAACCACTCTCATAAGTTAGAACTAACTGAGAAAAAAAATTAGCAGTAATGATAGTTACTCTTGTGCTCCTGGAACGCTGTGTGAAACTCAGAAGTCTGGGGCATGCTCAACTTCAAACAGTCTAGAAGACTACAGAAGTCTACTTTTGCACATTGGCAATGCAGTCCCTAATGTTTTTGTCTTTAGAATCTGGGTGATTCAAATGCCAGATTTATTTCAAACTAACTCTAAGTGAATTGTCCATGTGTAAACCTTGACGGGAAGACGCTACAGCTCCTCACGGGTGCCCCTCCCCTGTCCTTGCTGCCCAGGTACATCGTGGTCTGTGGCAACATCACTGTGGACAGTGTGACGGCTTTCCTGAGGAACTTCCTCCGCCACAAGTCGGGGGAAATCAACACGGAGATTGTCTTCCTGGGAGAGTAAGTGTGTCCATGCAGCCTGTGAGTTCTGTGTCGGCGCCGAAAATGCGTGTGGATGTGTTTTAGCGGAGTAAAATGATCTTGGTCTTACTCATAGAAAATTCAGAAAGGAATAACAAAAAGAAAACAAAAAGAAGAAAAAGGAAAGCAATCTCATGACTAGAGTAATATGTTGGAATATATCCTGCCAGATGTGTTTCTGCATGTATGCTAGTATTAAGGGACTGCTAGTTGGCATTTAAGTTACTTAATATCATCATCATACACAATGATAATTTGGGGCACAAGTCTGATGCACTTTCTAATTTTTTAACCTCTTAATTCTCAGAAGGTGAAGTTCAGATCCACACAGAGAGGATCGTTCTCGAAGGTGTTTTCCTTCTCAGCAGTTTACCCTGCCACTAGCAGTCCAGGCTACATTGCTGGTCAAACACTGGGGAATACAAATTTAAGGCAAAAAGAATTTTTACTGCTATTTAAATACAAAAACTTGTTTCTTATTGCTTTATTTTACAGTTACGATCTTGGTTCCTAGTGAGATGGAACAATTTTATACTTTTTGACAGTTCTCTTCCTTTCATGAAATTTCTCTTTATTTTTTTATCCTCTTTCTACCACTTTCCTGTGCTTAAATATTTTGATATTAAGCCGTTTCCTCCATAGGTTGTATGTATTTTGCCTTCTAATTTTGTTTATGCTTTTGTCTTAATGCAGAAGCAGTTGATTCGCACATGCACCAATCCACCCACTCTTCCCTTTTGGTTCCTTGCTTTTCTGCCATTCTTAGGCCTCTCTGTTCTAAAATGAAATGACTATTTCTCTAGCATTTCCGAAAGGTTATATTGTAATCTTTAATACTTAAGCTCACTATACTTGATTTTGTGGGATGTGTTTAGAGTTAATCCCTTTATTTTTCTCAAATGATTAATCAGTTATCCAAACAATTCACTGAATTTTTTACAAGGGGTCTTCACAATCTTCACAATTTCATGGAAAATGCATATTACAGAAAAATTATACATGAATTCAAAACTTTTTACAACAAAATAAGCTTATGTTTTTAATTCCATTTTCCACAACTTTTTGAAGAACCCTCATAAGTCAGCTGGATTTACAATATTTTGATCTTATATGGCATTGTATGTGGGATCACATATGACGTGCCCAATACATCATTACATTGGAGTCTCATAAATGTGAGCTCCAACGGCATTGTCAACCACCTTATGGTGCTGCTAATGTTTCCTTACTATGGCACTGCCTATCTTTTCAGGAAATTCTGCATTTTTTCTGAGAAATGGAACTAAAGCTTAAGTTGATTTGAGAGCAAAATAATCGAAATCCATACACACAAGGAATCTCCAAAAAGTTCATGGAAATGTATATTATGAAAAAATTATGCATGATTTTTTCTTTGTACTTAAAAATCTTTATTACTCTATAATCACATGGGCAATTCTGTTCTATATTTAATTTTTTTTACTTTTTTCATATAGAAACCTTTATTTAAGGTATACAAACTTCATGCATTTCATATATGCAAATTTAGGAACATAGTGATTCTCCCCACCCTACCGTCCCTCCTGCCCACACTCCCACATGTCTTTCTCCTCCCTCACCCATTCCCATTCTTATTTTTTACTAAGTTCTATTTTCAATTAACTTTATACTCATAAGATTAACCCTACATTAAGTAAAGAATTAAACAAATAATATAAAGAAAAAACTGTTCCTCAACAAGGAGGCAGGGGCTATTCAAAATCATCACATCTCAAAGTGTCAATTTCATTCTATTAACCACTCTGTTAGTTACCACAGATCAGGGAGAACATATGGTACTTGTCCTTTTGGGACTGGCTTATTTCACTAAGTATAATGGTTTCCAGTTGCATCCATTTTGTTGGAACTGACAGGATTTCATTTTTTTTACCACTGTGTAGTATTCCATGGTGTACCTATATCATATTTTGCTTTTCCACTCTTCTGTTGATGGACACCTGGGTCGATTCCATATCTTAACTATTGTGAATTGAGCTGCAAAAAAACATGGGGGTACAGATAACTCTTCCGGATGCTGATTTTATTTCTCTGGGGTAAATTCCCAGGAGTGGAATGGCTGAGTCATATGGTGGGTCTTAGTGGGTGTAATAGTCATCCACACCGCCTCAAGAACCACACAAAGGTTCCATGCGGTCCTCAGTGTTAGCACAGACCCTGCTGCAGTGACCCACCCCAGGTATGTGGAGCCGCCCACTGCAACTGCCCAGAGACCCAGCCACACCTTGCTTCCTTCCACACAGCCACAGTGTTCACGCAGTCCCAGCACCCAAGGCTCGGGCAGTCATGGGGCACCGACGATCTGCTCCGCCTTGCCGGCCTGTCCTGTCTAGAGAGGCGAAGATGCTCCCAGAGCAAGTTACCTGTGGGTACTCCACCTAGGCTGTTTGAGTCCCAGAGCCTGCAATGTGTGGGGAGGCTGGGGACACTTCACAAGTGCTCAGCCCCCATCAATCCTCCTAGCCGGACTCAAGTGTCTCCTTTCTGCTGGTTGCTGGCGCATGGACCCAAGCTGTCACAGCTGTTACGTATATCCAAAATGGCGCCCGCCCTCTCTCTCGGCCAGTCGCAGGGCACCATTGTCAGAGGGACAGGGAGAGAGAAACGTGCCTCTGTTTTTCCTCTAGGTTGGTAGCTACTCTGTCCCTGACAGGACTCCAGGCTCGATTCACAGCAGGCTCACCCTGCAGCTATATCATCAGTGGCTTGGGCTGCTACAGTTTGGTCTCACCTCACTCTCCAAAGCTGGTGGTGAGGCTCTCGGCTGCTGGGGTCCTGTGTTGTGTCTGTGCTCATGCTGCACACCCACACCCTCCACGTAGAGCCACAGCATCCTTCTTCCTGCCACAGCTCCTTGAAACAGCCAAATGGGCATTCTCTTGGTAATCCTGTTCTCCCTTAGCCTTGTGTATACTCCCATCAGTCCCATCCACTTTGTTTCATAAATAAATCCTAATTCTACTTCTACCCCATTTTCCCACTACCACAGCCTTATTTTAAGTTAAATTGCTGAAAAGACCACTTTATTGGTTTGTGCTTCTTGCTCCGAGATTTATTCTCATCCTTCAGTACTCAAGAGACCTCCGCATCCATCCTGTCTAAATAGGTGTCCTTGATTTCCTTCTATCTTCTTACTCCACTTTGTTTCCTTTCAAGCAATTGTTACAGCCTGTAACTACAGTTGATTTCCCTCTGAATACAACTCTCAACATTTTCTTCTTTTGCTATATACTCATGCTACTCCTCTCCTTGAGTCTTGGTTTGCTAGTGACTTGAGATGATAAGTAGAATGCAGATGATGCCACACTTTGCCACTTTCAGGCTAGGCTTTAGAGGAATGACAATTTCAACTTTCACGTGGAGTCCTGAGCTGTCATGAAGAGAAGACCCAGCCAGCTTTCAGCTCCCCCAGTCACACGGTTGCAACAGCAGTCAAATGGGCAGTCATTCGGGGTATCCCTGCTCCCAGACAAGCCCTCAGTTTAATACGGAGCAGAAGAAATCACATGGCTGAGACCACTCAGCCCACAAAAATAGGAACATTATGTTGTTTTAGACCAATAAGTTCTAGAATGGCTTGTTTGCAGATGGATAACTGATAGCAGAAGAGGTTCTGCTGTGTAACAAAAGCCAACACACAGCCTCGTCTTAGGACCTGACGGTAGAGACAGGCTGGAAGGTTTGAATGGAGACTTTTGGCAAACGCTGGAAACGCAATGATAAAATCACAATTGGAGGACAAGCCAGCCATCCATGTTATCATAGCAGAACTTTGGTGACATCGTCCCCAGCAATAGTACAGAACACACAAAATATAATAAAATAAATACAATATCAAATTATATATCATATATTATATACGATATATTACATATTAATACATTATATTATACATAACACAAATTAATTATTATATAGTAATATATATGGCATGTACTACATATATTATATATTACTAATAAAATTATTAATATATAATTATACTATTATATATTAATACATTGTATATAATACATTATATATTGTATATTAATATATATTACACACTTTATATAATACAATATACACTACATAATACATAAAATATATATTATATAATTATATACTGTATAATATACACCATATAATTATATTATATTATAATTATTTATTATATATTATATATCATTACATATTATCATATATTATATATTATATTAATCTTCATTATATATTATATATCATATTTATATATAATATAGTATATTATATGTTGCATATTATAATACATAATACATTATATAACACTATAATTATATTATCATATATTGTATATGTTTATACATTATACTATATAATATCAAATATGTAAAATAATACTATAAATTATACATTATATAATATATACATACAAAATATATTACATATCATAGAATACATAATATATTACACATTATATTACAAATTATATATGCAATAAAATATCATATAGTGTGTAATAATATATAATATATTTCTATATTATACAAAATATAATGCAATATGTAATATAATATATGTTGTATATTGTATAATACATATTTATTATGTATCATTTAATATGTTATGTATTATATAATATATTTATAATATGTATTATATTAAATAATATAATATATATTATATAATGCTATATAATATAATATAATATATTATATATTTATTATAATATATTTATATTTATAATATATTTATATTATATTTATATATTTATGTATTTGTATTTATATATAAAGTATATAATAATATAATATAGTATATAGTAATATAATATATTTTATATATTTATATATTTAGATTATTATAAATATATAATTATATATTGTATAATATATATTATATTTATATAATGAAATATATGATATATATTATATAGTATATAATAAATATTATATAATGCTATAATTATATTTATATTATATTTA